ATATATATATATATATATATATATATATATATATATATATATATCCGCAATATCTAAAATTAACATTGTGAAAAATCAAACTTCTTTCTATTTGGTACCTTGCTATTATATAAAAAGGCAGCTTTTCTAAACTATACCTCAAACAGATTCGAAAAGCAGTTGGGACGATACGTTAAAATGGAAGAAAAGAAAATCGGCTCATAAAACGAATTATAGAAATATGTTTTGATATTTCTTTAGTCTCTTAAGTGGTTAAAGTCTGGAAAAGTTTATAATAAAATACTAAATTCTTTTTCATTTATTTAAATTCTTATATTTTTCTAATCCATAGCACATAGATGCAAATGAAAATTAGATATACTTTGTATTCTATTTTTCAAAATTCTTTAAGGAAAATAGTAATAAAGAAAAAAACTTAGATATGCTTATTGAAAGAAAAGTTTCCCTGCGAGGGAATTATACTAAAAATTGAAAGGATTAAATTTTTTCTAACGTATGTAGTCGCTCATTATTTAAAAATTACTTTATACGAATGAATGTCCAAAGGTCAGCCCATTGTCCGATGCGGAGAAAGAGGAGTTGGAAAAACTAGCGATCGAAGTTGAAAAGGAAGAGACTAAACCAAATGAACTCTACGCTCCGAGTTCCAAATCTTCCCAATTATCTCACGCGATGACACGCAATCGACATAAGGCGCACAAGTTTGCCGCGCCCATCAAAGTGCAGGATCCACTCGACGAATCCTCGCCGGATCTCCCAGAAATCAATTCTCAAGTTGAGGATCTCGCGAAATCTTCGAACGATTGCAACACTGCTACATCTAAAGCAGGTATTGAAGGTTGTCCGTTAAGCAGTAATGTCTAGCTAGACAAAGTCTTATGTCAAATGTAGATACAATTTCTTCTGTTGATCTGCTAGACAAAAGCGAGACTACATCTAGAGCTGGTAAAAGGGAGCCGCCTATCAAGGAGCAACGTCCAGCCACCATTTTGTCGAATGTAGATAAAATTTCGCCTATCGATTTGCCGGACGAAAACGCACCCAAGGAGGATAAAACGAGAAACTCCACAGAGGCAAACGACGAGGTTGCGATGGAGTAGGCGACCATCTTTAGGCCAAATTCTTTTATAACTTATTTGTTGTAGTAATACAAGGTGTGCCAGAGATCATCCGCGTTTTCTTTCGTCACCTATCGCTTGATGAATTTGGAGGCGAGTTTCCTTAAAGGAAAATTTATGGGAAGCTACAATTTGTTCCATACAGCATAAGTATCTAAAAGACATTTTAGAGGCGTCTGAAAGATATTCTCCATGTTTTAAATGTTTTTAGATATGTTTCTGAGACGTATTTTAGACATTTGTGTTGTAGAGTCGAAAACTGAAAAAATTTGTTGGATATAAAGTTTATTTCTATGTGTGTGTGGATAAATTTTATATCTTACAAATAAATATTTAAATATTTCTTTCTGCAATATCTTAATCTTCGATATCAAATAGATAACTGAGCATACTTGTCTAAGATTTATTATTTTTTTACGTCATTATAACATGATTAAGAGCTTCTCATCAAATTTGCCATAAAGGAAGAACTTGATACAAATTCGCCGAAAGGCATGTAGCTGAAGAGAGAATAGCGTGATCGATTATGCATATATCCTATGTATTACAAAGAAATAAATTCCAGATAGAAGCCACTTGCGTAAAGAAGCAACATTTCTATGAGTTTTAGTTTTGTAATTTATAACGCGATGACCTATTTGAGATGTCGCTAAGGATACACTTCATTGCACAGTGGACATTACGGTCTCATTGGTGACTGTTACTGCTTTGCTACTGTTCGTGCTTGTAAAATTTGTTCGCGCATTTGTGAATTATGTTAACAATACGACAAACATTGTGTAAAGTTACTAGAACGTTTCTAATAAAACGTTGACGTAGATCGTGAGTACACAGAGAGAAAGATTTCTTTAGATTTAACAAATTTTTATTAGACTTGGTTTCCGGGTTAAAGTCGCGTGGATTCTTCTTTGTTTGTCATCGGGTCGTTCCTCCCTGATGAAGCGAACTGAAAGGTCCGCGAAACGTCGGAATCAAACGAAGAAGAATCCACACGACTCAAACCCGGAAACCAAATCTAATATGGACACCGCGAAAGCCTAAAATATCAAATTTAATAAATTTTATTGTATCCAAACAAATGTGACCACTGGAATGGTGCAACAATGAAAATGATGTTCTAATTAATAAGTACGAGATTATTTAGCTTTTCAAATAATTTCATTGTTTGGTTCAAATAATTGTTTGGCTCAAAAAAGAAAATCATTTTATTTGATTTTATTTTACTAAAAAATTCGATAATTATTTTACTAAAAAATTCGATAATTTTGTTTAAATAATCTTAAGAAACTTGATTTTTTTGCGTTATTGACGGTCCCTTTTCATTATTTTATTGACGGTCTCTTTATTATTTCATTGAGTGTGTCCCTCTTTCTTTGTAATTTTTCAGAGTAGCCGATAAGGATCCTGTTATCGCGCTTTCATACTTATTGATAATTACTGGAAACAACAGTCGATATATAATGGATATTGACAGAAGGTATTTTAATGACAATAATGATTTTTAACCAAATGTTATGTTGATTAGTATAGGCAATAGATTAGGTTGAAAAAGGAAATATTTAAAATAATAGTTTTTTCAATCAAACAACATAATTTAATCTAACAAAACAAAATCTCAAATTTAATGAAAAAATAATACATTATTTGGTTGAAAATTTTCTTTAAATATAATATTTTTTCCATCAAACAATATAGTTTAAATAAAATATGAATGTCTGTTATCTGATATAAAATTATATATTGTTTGATATAAAATTATTTAGTGAGATCAAATAAATCAAAGTAAAAAAAAATACAAAGAAATCAAAGAAATACTAAATCTAAAGAAACTTTTTTCTTCATATAAAATTTTATATTTCTTTTGTACCAATTTTTTATACAACAAATATAAACAAACTGAATACAAATTGCAACTAACGTTATATAAAAAAACAAATAACTAAAATTATATAAAACCGAATAGTTAATATTATATAAAAATAATGCGAAAGTAACGCAAAAAAGTAGTTTAATAATTTTATTTATCGGTGTAAGACATTTATTGGATAGTGTTATTACAATGTCTTTGTAAAGTTATGCGTGTTTTATATTCTTCTCTCATCTTATCTATTCGAATAATCGATTGTTGTTGAATTTACGTCGCCGGGAATACAATTTTGCGAAATATTATATAAATTAAAAGATCTATCTAATATCTTCATTGTATCGTTTACTACTCGTGCAAACGATGTCCTATATATTTCCTATATATTTCATAATTCTGCCCGCCGATGATGTACTTTATAATTCTTGCCGTCAATTTTTAAAGCCAGAATAACCTCAATAATATCTGAAATGCTCTCAGTAGGAGCGAAAGAATCGTTATTTAATTTACGAAGCATATCATCGTCGACACTCATGTCCAAGCTATTGATACGGCCACGCGAAAATCTCTTGCTAGAAAAGAAAAATGTGTTGTTTCCAAGTTTGCACGCATATGAGGGAACATTCTCGTTCACGTCCGTTATGTAAATATTTCCTGTGACCTGACAGCGGATGAATTGCTGCTTGCTTCTGTTGTTTGATGCGTGATTCGAAGTATCATTAGGAGAGATCACGAAAGATGTGTTCGAAGGTGTCACCGTGATATTTCCTGCAGAATTACTATTGTTCCGCAATATATCTTTTCGTCGCACGGCCGCATTAGTCCTCTTCAAACGTCGTACCGCGATAACAGGATCCTTATCGACTACTCTGGCGCATTTCAACAAACTGGCGAGCGAGTGTTTCTTCTTCTGACAATAATTTTTTTCGGAGAATACTCCGATATCGCGTTGGTAACGCTTCTTAATAATCATATCGTGATGATCCAAACAGATCTTTTGTTTTTTGACTGGTAGTTCAGTAGCACTAGCTTTAAGTGATAATCTGAGTAGCTTGTCTTGAGCAGTATCACCATTCGTGCTGTCGACTATGCTACTTGTCCATTGTTGACTCTTTTCGTAACTCATTGGTAACGCACGACTATGCACCATGATGAAGCTTGATGGTATCAATACGATGAAAATCGTTAACCAAAGTATCAACATCATCATAGGATAGTCCGTAGAAACTCTCGTGTCCGTAGAATCTCATACAACACATCTAAACTAGTTCTTTGTTAGAAATTGACACGATCAAGTACAGTTTGTGACGGTTACAATGTCGCAGGAGATACTGACTGTAACGGAGAAAAGGGAAGCTTATGGACGAACCTATGGACGAACAAGACGCTTGAGGGGATAACAAATTCGACTTTATATTTGGTGCCTTCTTATATCTACTGACTACTGGGAAAACACAACAGATATCTAAGAAATAATTGAATTATCTCAGTTGGAATTCATCTCGAACAAATCCATAATAGCATCTATAATCTCCTTTTTGCACGTTGCACATGTACGCATGAGCTCGAAAATTTATTTGTGTTGTTTGGTGAAATATAATTGACAATACAACTCGAAAAATCGATTGTCTATCAAAAATGTGCGACGCTGGAATAAATATATCTCCCAGTGGTGCTTATTTTTCATTAGGAAAAAAATATTAACAAAAAATAACTTAGTGTTACTTTTAACAACAGTTGAAAGTAATATTTAGTAAGTAAAAATATTACAAAAGGATTTATATTTATACTAGTAGGACAGATTTGTTACGCATTTATATATCTGACATATATTTGTATTTTCATTATATATATATATATAATTTATTAAATAAAGAAAAATTAAATTATTTCTGTGAAGATACATTATTCACAGTTTGATTGTAAAATTTAAATTTAGCATGTCAACGTAAACCAAAATTATCTAGACAAAGTGTAACTATCTAATGTGATAATTTTAACTTATGATTACATCAAATTTAAGAAATTTAATAACTAAAAGCAAGATTTTATAAGTTTATATTTAATAAATGTACATGTTATGATTAAAAAAATAGGTTATCATACTTCTCATACATAAATACAACTTTATCGATAGAGGGTAATATCGTATAAGGATGGCTACATTGACAAAAGAGATTAATATCTAAACAATTAATGAAATGAAAAAATCTTAATTGTTAATAATGAAATTTAGAATTATCGATTTACGACAGTTGGACATAGACATTAATCTAAGTTAAAAACAACAAAAATATAATTTATCTTTCAACAAAAGAAGAATTGAATATTAATTAATTGTATAATTGCTCTTGGAACATATGTATTAATAAAATTTCGAGATATTCTTTTTCTGTCTAATAACGTTCTCTATGCTTTCTTTCTTCGCTTCTGTTTCCCTCTTCTTACTTAAATATACACATATACAGGGTGAGTTTTAAGCTCATATGCCAAATATTCTAATATATACAGAAAATATTATTTAATTAGACTGATTAAACATTAGCGTATGCAGTATTTTGATTTGAATTTCACATTATCACGTGAAGCAGATATGAGAACACTCGAAGCCATCTTCACGCTGCTTGATCAATTACTGCCGTCGCAACCGTAGGTAACCCATGTTGTATGATAAAGTTAATATGAGAACTTACTTCGTATGTTAATATAAGAACATATGAGAACTCACCTCGTGTACAAAGGCGAACTCACACCTTGGTAGAAAAGCAGAAAGTAGAAGCCAATCAGAATTTGCTTACTGCTTACGTCTTATGGCTCTTGCACACAGGCGTGCGTTCGAAAACTCTATCCGGGTGCACTCGCTGTGTTGGAGTGAGAAAGATACAGAAGTGAGATAAAGAGAGAGGAGAAGCACCCGGGTGAAGTTTTCTAATAGCGAATTCGGTAGCTTGCACTAGTGCGCACTGAGTGCGCATTAAGGCTTGTTTACAGTACATTCTTATATTTAAGATCATGTCTTAAATATATATTTAAAGACATTTTAACTAATAAAATGATTCGTACGGATGTTATACATATCATATTATGATTAAAAATATTTGAGAATTTATTTGAGAATTATTTAAGACAATCTTTAAATATAATAACATACTATGAATAAGCCTTAGTGCGCACTCAGTGCACACTAGTGCAAGCAACCGAATTCGCTATAACACACCTCAGGACGCGGTAATGTTTGCCGGAAGAAAGAGAAAAACTTATGGTTTTTGCACAAAGGAGCCGGTAATGCTTGCCACGTGGCGGAAGTCCGCGCGACAGCCAATCAATATGTTGTTTTTCCGTAAGAGCTAGAAAGTTATTACGGAAAGCAGCATATTGATTGGCTGTCGCGCGAACTTCCGCCGCGTGGCAAGCATTATCGCCTCCTATGTGCAAAAACCATAAGTTTTTCTGTGTGCCACACCCCTTAACCCACTCTGGGTTATTCAGCCTACGTTTATTGGTCGAACAAGTACTTATAAGCTTTATGATTGGCTAGTAGAGACTTATGACGTCATTAATCGCTCTCGGAGCGATTAACCCGTGGCCAGTCGAATGTTGTTATATAAAATTCTCCAATTCTCTTAGAAAGCTATTCTTTTATTGGATATCGAACGTCGTACATCGGACGCGGTGTAAATCCTACATAAGCGAATTCACCAGTCGACTATTTTCCACAGAGCAGAGATGTCCAGAATATATCATCCAGAATATATCCTAAAGATATATGTAATACCTTCAAGATATTTCTATAATGTATTTGGGATATTCTTGCTATGTGGATTTAGTGTTACGCACTTTGATAGTCCTCTTCATTCTTTGAAGCTGTCTACTGGAAGAAACAACGTACAATATTTCGTAATTTTTATTCGCATATACACACAAACAGCTTTCCGTGCTTCGCAACGATTTAAATAGCAACGGAT